TCCGTAAAACTCCTTCTCTTCAGACATCTCATTTCATCTCCTCAATGTATTTTATTAGCTGCCATTAGATTGTCTTAAATGCAACGTGGTGATTGTTTCATCCAGTAATTTAATAAATCACAAAGATCACCCCAATGGTTTTTGAAGACACTTTCAAATCTAGAGTCTTTGGTAATCTCTTGCTCTGTCGTCTTATTACATTTTGTCCTCAAATCTAAATCACACATTTCATCCAGTCTGGAAGAGTCACCATTCTCTATTAATGCCCTATATATTTTTTTTTCATTCCTGAACTTGTTTTATTCTTGTCTTTGACTGAAAAGCATCCCATCATAATCTTAGCCTATAGATGTCTTGTGATGACTATCAATGTCTTGACACAGAAGGTGTGTGCCAACTCCTTCTGAATGACATTATTTATGATTATTTAAGGAATATATTCCCTTTGTGTTCCCAAATTATTTCATTTATACAAAATATTTGCTAATTGTATATCCCTTTGTATTGTAGTGATTGGAATGTGATTCCTTTTTTCAGACTTTATTCTCTGTGAAAGGAAATACTATGAAATATATTTCTGTGGTGGAGTGCTAAAATGGGCCTGTACATTGTGAATACGGAATAAAATACGGCATCTGAATAGTATTTCATCAATTATCCTGCAATATAATTCTCTAAGTTCTCAAGTGATGTACTGAGAGCTTGATATTTAGCCAGGCAAAATATCTTCAAATAAACATTTTTATAGTACCAAATAAGAAAATTTAAGTTTTCTTTATTTCATTATGTACACAAAATCTCAACCACATAAAGAGAAGATTTCAAATGGAGCCACTATGGTATGAGTTAAAAATCAAAGCAATCAATTTTTGGTCAATAATTTCTGATAAGTTTACTGAGGAAAATATGTATGTATATGTGTGTATGTGCAGCAAAGAATTTAAAATATTTTTTCTATATGAATCCAGAATTTTACCTTCAGCCAGACCCAAAATCTGTGCATTTCACATACTTTCAATATCCATGATCTGTGTTCTCAAAAATAACAATTTGACTTTAAAGAGTTTCATTCATTTACAACTATAATGAATATTGAAATGTGAAAAACATCTTTAAAAGAAACTACCTGTGAATTTGTCTATAATCTTGAAGGAAGGTAAAGTAAGGCTGATTGCCAAGGAGAGAAAGGGAAAGTCGACCTTCATTTTAACATGACAAAACACTCAGAGGGCACAAAATAAAAGATCAATAGAACTAAAATATTAGAATCTTCAGTGTATCCAAAATACTCAAAACAATGCCAAAATGACAACTAGAGACAAAATATTCAACTCTTATGCTAAACAGTGTTTTCTAAATGTTTAAAGAGGCCTTGTAAAATATGACAGTCAAGTAAAAAGAAAATGGTCAAATGATCTGTGTGGACAATTTCTTTGAAAAGGAGAAACAACAAATAAACATAAAAATATGCTCAAGCACATTTGGAGTCAAAAACTGAAAATCAAAATACTTTGCAGTTATCCACCTATCAAAGATTAATATGCTTAATAACACTGTGTGCTAATACAGGCAGGAAAAAACAGAAATGCTCACATAGTCTGGTGGGAGTGCAAATTGGTACTATCTTTTTGAAGGGTAATATAAAAATGTAATTAAAAGAAGTGCCCAGATTCGTGTTCGACGAATGAAAAGTAAAAAATATTTATTGTTGAATTAAAATTCAAAACTGCACATGCACTTTGACTCATCAGTTCCATTTCTATAAATTCGCTATGGAGAGGGGCTCACAAAATGCACAAGATACAGCATAAAGAATCATTGCAACACTGATTGTAACAGCAAGGAATTTGGAGAAAAAAAAAGGAATATGACACATCTGAAATAATATGCAACCAGCACAAATAATAATACAAATTTTTAAATGCAAACAAAGCATTTTTTGCAAAAATCATAGAAGTAATGATATCATCTGGGAAAAAAATTTGATATATATGTACGTATATAAACATGTATATTTTATGTATATGTGTATTTATATGTGTATATACATATATATCTTGCTTATATGTAAAAGCATTTCAAGTTGATAATAATTATCACTGGAAAGTTGACTAGGAGAACAAGAACATTTTATTTATTTATTAGATGGAGTCTTGCTCTGTCACCCAGGCTAGAGAAAAGAGGAGTAATCATAGCTCATTGCAGCCTCAAACTCCTGGCTTCAAAAGTGATCCTCCCATCTAAGCCTCCCAAGTCATCAAGATCACAGGCATGAGCCAATACATGCATGAATTGAAAATTTTTAATTACAGTATTATATCTGTCTAAATGGTCTGATTTTTAAATATTGAGATATAATCACTTACCATAATATTCACCCTTTTAAAGTGCCCAATTCAGAGATTCTCAGTATATTTACAAGGTTGTACAATCATCACCACTATCTACTTTCAGAACATTTTCATTACTACAAAATGAAACCCCATGGTGATTAGCAGTCACTCTCTATTCCTCCCTATGTATAGCCCCTGGCAACTAGTAATCTACTTTCTGTCTCTATAGATTGGTTTATGCTGGGCATGTTATATAAATAGAATCATACAATGTGTCCTTTTGTGTCTGGCTTCTTGGATTTAGTGTAGTATTTTCAAGATCCATCTACCTTTTAGCATGGATCGGTATTTCAATTTTATTTATGTTTGAATAATATTCTATTACATGAATACAGAACATTTTATTTATCTATATGTTATGTAATAAAATTCTGGGTTGTTTCCACTTCTTGGTCACATCATAATGCTGCTATGAATATTTATGTATAAGAATTTATGTGAATATGTTTTCAGTTGTCTTAGGTGCATGCCTAGAAATGGAATTGCTGGGTCATACAGTAACTCTCTGTTTCCCTTTTTGGAGAACTGCCAAACTGGTTTCCAAAGTGGCTGCCCTGTTTTTCACGTCCACCAGCAATGTGTGGGGGTTCCAATCACTCCATGTCTTTGCCAGCAATCGTTAATATCCTTCTTTTTTATTATAGCCATTGTCTCTGGTATAAAGTAATATTTTATAATAGTACTGACTTCCATTTACCTAATGTCAAATGAGTTGAGCACCTTTTCTTGTGCTTATTGGCTATTTGTGTATCTCTTGGAGAAGTATTCCTTTAAATCATTTGCCCATTTTAATTGGGCTGTTTATTATTGGGTTGTGTTATTTTTATATTCTAGATAATAGACAGTTACTATATATACAATTTGCAAATATTTTCTCCCATTTTATAGGTTTTCCTTTGATACTGCTACTTAATGCACAGACGTTTTAATTTTTAAGTAGTCCAATTTATCTACTGTGTTATTTTGTTGCCTTTGCTTTTGGCGTTATATCTAAGAAACTAATGCCTAATTCAAGGTCATTAACATTTACATGTAGGTTTTCTCCTAAGATTTGTATACTTTTTCCTCTTAAATTTAGACCTTATTTTATTTTGTGATGGAGACTCGCTCTGTTGCCCAGGTTGGAGTGCAATGGCACGATCTCAGCTCACTGCAACCTCCGCCTCATGGGTTCAAGCGATTCTCCTGCCTCAGCCTCCTGAGGAGCTGGGACTACAGGTGTGCACCACCATGACCAGCTAATTTTTGTATTTTTAGTAGAGACGGGGTTTCACCATGTTGACCAGGACGGTCTCGATCTCCTGACCTTGTGATCCGCTCGCCTCGGCCTCCCAAAGTGCTGGGATTACAGGCCTGAGTCACCGCCCCTGGGCAAATTTAGACCTTTAATACACTTGAAGTTAATTTTTGCATACAGTCTGCAGTAGGGGTCCAACTTTATTTTTTTGATGTGGAAATCCAACTGTCCCAGTACCATTGAATGAAAAGATGATTCTTTCTGTTGTCTTTGTAGTCTTGTTAAAAAAAACCAAAAAAGATAGATCACAGATGTGAAGAGTTATTTCTGCACTCTTAATTCTATTCTACTAATCTACATATCTATACTTATGCCTGTACCACATTCCATTGATTTCCATGGCTTGTAGTAAGTTTTGAAATTGGAAAGGACAAGTCCTCCAACTTTGTTATTTTGGGTTTGTCTTTTCCAGATTATTTTGGATATTTGGAGTCCCTTGCATTTCCACATGAATTTTAAGATTAGCTTGTCCATTTCTCCAAAGAACATAGTTGGGATTTTGATAGAGATTGCTTTGAATCTGTAGATCAGTTTGAAGTGTATTTCTATCTTTAAAATGTCAAATTTTCAGTCTACAAATATGAAATGCTGTTCCATTTACTTAGGATTTTTTCAACTTCTTTTAATAATAATTTATAGCATTTAGTATACAAGTTTTACACTTATTTTGCTTAATGTTATTCTTTGATGTTATCATAAATGGAACTTTAAATAATTATTTTCAAATTTTTCATTGCTGGTGCATAGAAATACAATTGATTTTTATCTATTGATCTTTTATCCTTCAATCTTGCAGAACTCATTTATTAGCTCTAATAGTTTATGTGTATATATTTGTGTGTATATGTGGGTAATGTTTCTTAATTTTATGTAGATTTTTTTTTAGACAAGATCTTGCTCTGTCACTCAGACTGAGGTGTAGTGTTGTAAACAGGGCTCACTGCAGCCTTGAACTCCTAGGTGCAAATGACTCTTCTGCCTCAGCCTCTGGAGTAGCTGGGATTATAAGCATGCACCACTATGCACAGTTATGTTTTTTTCTTTTGTAGAGATGGGGTCTTGCCATGTTGTACAGGCTGATCATGAACTCCTAGGTTCAAGTCACCCTCCTGCCTCGGTGGCCTTAAGTGATCCTCCTGCCTCAGCCTCCCCAAATGCTGGGATCATAGGCTTGAGATAACATGTCCAGACTAATTTTAATTTTTTAAAATGAACTAGAATTCAATTCCAAAGCCTTAACTCACAAAAACCTAAGACAAAAATGTATGATAATACTAAATGGTTTTAAACTAAGTTCTGCTTTTTTCTAGAACAAGAGTTGGAAAACTATGATTCATTGCCAAATCTCACCGGCTACCAGTATCTGTAAATAAAATAAAATTGGAACATAGCCACACTCATTCATTCAGGTATTGTGCATGGTGATTTCACCCTAAAATGGTAACATTGTGTAATTACAACAGAGACTCTATGGCCCACAAAGTCTAAAATATTTACTATCTATTCCTTTGTAGAAAGTTTGCTAATCCTTGTTTTAAAAATGTCCTAAGTCAAAATCTGAAATAGTGAGGGGAAAATTCAAGTTTAAAACTGTGCCAGAATTCCTCTCTTATAATAGAGATATCTTTTGCTGATAACACATACTACCACATATACAAAATATATATTATCATATTTTAAGTCTTTAAATGATTTATTAAAATAGTTGCTGGCAGACAATTCCTGTATTTTATTTAAGTTTTACCCTTTTATTTCATCTTCAGGAAAATATATAATCTTATGTTATATTTAAATAATTTTTCAGATTACATTTTAAAAATATCCTCCAATAAACAGTGTGTTAGCTAAAATCTAGATCAAGTGCAAATTCAAGTATGAATTAATTTATTGAAAAAAAATTTAGGGGCTGTTCTCCGAGAGTTACAATCAGTTGATGAAAGAAATGAGTTTTTCATATAATGCAGAATAAGTGACATGTCTTCATATAAATTCTCAAGCACACAGAATGTCAGAATTTTGGCTTTAAAAGATTTCAGGCTGGGCACAGTGGCTCACGCCTATAATCACAGCACTTTGGGAGGCCAAGACAGGTGGATCACTTGAACCTAGGAGTTCACAATCAGCCTGGGCAATGTGGCAAAACCCAGTCTCTATAAAAGAAAATACAAAACATTACCAGGTATGGTGGCATATGCCTGTAGTCTCAGCTACTCAGGAGGCTGAGGTGGGAGGATTACTTGAGCCCAGGAGGTCAAGGGTGCAGTGAGCTATCATCATGTCACTGCACTCCAGCCTAGGCGACAAAGCGAGACCAAAAAAAAAAAAAAAAAAAAAAAAAAAGATTTCAGACAACTGGCTCCACCAAAAAGTCATCATCATTAGAAATGTTGTGGCTTGCAAAGCAGTTTCTGTATGCTCTGCTTTTACTTTAAAAATCCAACACCTTATTAGAGACATAGAAAGAACAACATAACCCACAAACGACAAACTAACTGCAAGTCGAAAACTGACCAGGTATCTCCCCTCTCATTATCTTCTTCCTGCCCCTTGTTAATTATTTTCTCATCAGCTGCTCTGACCAGCTCTGGCCTACATCATGTTTAGTTGTAAACCTGGATCACCCACCTTTACTTAATCCTTTCTAATTGGATTTGGACTACTGAACTCCTTTCAGATCTGTTTCCCCACAGCATTACCTTGAGCCCTGCTTCATGGACCGCACATGTGACCTTCCAGGGTGAGAACGATGCCAGTACCACCTCTAGTCTTTGAGGTTACGGCAGCTGATCCACAACTGCTGCCCTCTTGATCCTCTTGCTTCCTCACATCCTTGTCAGGCAAAGGATGTTAGACAAATAACACATCAAATATTGTGTAATTATAATCGTATATGTGTCCAGACTATGCACCTGTAGAAGAAGGATTCAATAAACAGCTAGCACATGTGTAGTATCTCCCCGTAAGCCTTCCCTGGTCCTCCTTACCTCCATGGATCTAATCACTCTCTTATCTGTACTACCTTCATATTAAGTACATGCTTCTTTTGATGCATATTAAAGTGGAAGTATTAATAATTTGTTTGCTTCTACATCTCTGGCTTCTATCAGACTATGAATGTCTTCCACAATCCCATGCACACTTTAGGTGCTATGTGAATGTTCATTCAATTGAGTAAATTTTTGCCTTTTGAATACCCAATAAAGAGCTCCAAAGTAGTAGATATTCAGTATTAGATATTCAGTATGTTTGATTGATAACTAAATGAATAAATTATCCTTATTGTATTCTAAGATACCTTAACTAGCCTAACTGTACTGAAACATTTTTCCTCTTTCCCCAAAATAAGTGCCAAATAATGTCCTCTGAAAAACCAAGCACAACATTGAAAGAAAGCTGAGTATGGTGAGGAAGGTGGCAAGACTTTGGTCTTCACAAATAAAACCAACCTATAGAGGGCACTGTTCCCTTGCACTCATCCTCCCTGACTCCTTATTGCCTATTTCCTTGTCAATTCTCTATTGGTTTTTATCTTTGCCTGTTCTATGTTCTCAGTCTCTCTGTTCACCTTTACCTGTATTTGTTTCTTGTCTGAATGACTAGGTACTGGCCTTGCTTCATCCACTGACTCAGTTTCCAAATCATGGACAAGATTTTGTGTATTCTATGTAGACACTCGTAGACATTTGACTTTTGCCTACTTCAGGTTTTGGATTTATTATTTCTAAGCCAATAGCCCTATGGCCCTTAATGAATTAGTGAGGCTTTTTTACTCAAGGTAGGATCTGCTTGCACATCCATTTTCTTTCTTTCTTTTTTTTTCTTTTCCTGGAGAGGAGGCAAGAATGCTTCCATATTGTTTTAACTTAGTTTAGACTGAGGTGAGAAATACCTAAAAAAACCTTTTTTATTTAGAAAATAATAGTGATGAATACATATTCTACAAGGCAATGTCCATCATTTGAAATTCCAGGAATTTCAAGAGTAGAGACAACTCTTGAATATTCTGAATATAGTACTTATTTTCATATTTCAACATAGTAATATTATAAAGGAGCTTCTTTAAACAGAAGGGACGACTACTCTAAATATCCACTCCCTAAGAAGGTGATTACTGTTTGTGGCTTGTACTAGGAGCAAGTTTAAATTTAAGATGGAAACTGTAACAATTTATTCTGCATTGAAGAGAGTGCTTCTCAGTTATCAAAACACAGCTAGAGAACCTGGCAAACATCACCTTAACCAAATGATCAAGGTTAACATCACCAGTAACAAGTTTTATGGATATCATGTAAACCCTGAAATGAAGCCATGAAAAGGCCACTTGGTATCTTTCCCCCAAATCAATAATTCCAGTCTAATTATGAGAAAAAAAAAAGCAAACAAACTCAAAACAAGGGAGAGTTTACAAAACACCTAACCAGTACTCTTAAAAGCAGCCAAAGTTATATAACAAAGGAAAAAAATACTGAGGAAAGATTGTTGCAGACTGGGAGAGACTAATGTGATATCACAACTAAACACAACATGGTATTCTAAACTGCATCCTGGAGCATTCACACAAATATCAGGAGAAAAAAGTCAGTAAAATATGAATAAAGACCATAGTTAATGGATTATACCAATTTCAATATTTTAGTTGTGAAAAATCTATCGTAGTTACATGTAAGATGTTCACATAGGGCAAGCTAGGTGAAGGGTTTACAGAAACTAAAGTTTCTGTTAGATTCACAGAAGAGGGATATACAGAAACTAATGTTCTGTTAGATTTTCAGAAAAGCAAAAAGTATAAAAATCTTAGGAAAAAACCTACGTTTAAATGTTAATGACCTTGAATTAGGCATTAATTTCTTAGCTATAACCCCAAAAGCAAAAGCAACAAAATAACACAGTAGGTAAATTGGACTACATAAAAATTAAAACTTCTGCACATTAAATAGCACAAGCAAAGGAAAAGTACAGAAGGGGAGAAAATATTTGCCAATCATATATGTAGTAAGGGTCTAGTATCTAGAATATAAAAATAACACAACTCAGTAATAAAAAATCAAACAGCCCAATTTAAAAAAAAAATGGGCAAGTGATTTAAAGGAATACTCTTCCAAGAGATATACAGACAGCCAATAAGCACATAAAAAGATGCTCAACTCATGGGCCATTAGGTAAACGGAAGTCAGTACTAAACAAAATATTACTTTATACCACAGAGAATGGCTATAATCAAAAAGAATTTTTGAAATAACATTCGATTTATAGCTGAATACTTTGAAGGGGGAATAGTGAGTTGTCAAGAATTGGATTTGAACATTTAGATATCAGGCTGAACGAAATAGAATTATATCCTGTAGCAATGAGAAGCTACTAAAGATTTCCGAGCAAGGGAGTAAGATGTTAAATACTATGTTTTGAAAGTGGGGTACATTCAGAAAACAGGGAGAAATTAGCCTGCTATTATGACAATGGAAATGTGAATCAGGACCAGGTGGAGGCAATGAAAACAAAAATCAAAATATGTTAGAACACTTGAAAGGCAAGAACAGCCAAGCTCTGTGGCTACCTATATTGTTTGAAAGAAAGGAGGGAAGGCAAGTCTCAGGTGTCGAGCCTGGAAAAATGGCACTGTTATCAAGATTGGGCAAGTAGGGTGGAGAGCTGGTTTGGAGGTGAGAGGAGATGGTCAGAACTCTAGATATGTCAAGGGTGGAGCTCAGAACTCCATCCAATGTGGTATTCAATTCACAGCTGGAAATATGGCCCTTAAGCTCAGGAGACAGGCAAGAGCACCTTTGAAATTTACCCATTATGTATTTCTATTACATATATTTCATAAATGGCTAGAAATGTATGGTCTATGACAACAGTCAACCTTTCAATTTAGTAATCTCTTCATTGGCTTAGCACTCCTCTCACTGGAACAAAGTTACTGAAAAACCTCTCAAAATTTTTATATTTCCCCTTGAAGCCAATGAACCTCTACAAAACCTACGTTCCAAAAAGTGTTAGTACTCTGTGCAAGAACCTTCTTAAGGGGATTAAAAAAAAAAAAAAAAGCCATTATTAAACTTTGTCTCTAGGGTTTGCAATACCTGTGGTTTGCCACAACATGTTGTTTTGTTATAACAACCTTGGACTTGTGAAGTGATTTATCTTGAAATTGTGCTACTCTTTGGAGAGTTTTAAGATAAACTCTCTCTTTCTTACTTAGCTTTGAAGCAAAGTGATACCAGAAAACCCAATGTAAAAAAATAAAAAATACAACAGCAAATGCAGAAAAGTAAAATAAATACCAAGTATATTCTTATAATCAATACAAGAAATAGAAATTCTGTTTTATCTTTTGTTTCTTAACAAATATTCCAATCAAAATGAAACCCTCACTACTTTGAATCAGGATCATCAAATCCAAAATGAG